TTTTCAGAGCATTCTCAAGGGGCAACACCTACTTTCCTGATGAACCAACATTTACACATGAACCAAAAGTTAGAAAAGGACACACACAAACAAGGAAATGATCCAAATGCACCCATTAAAAACAGCCGTGGACCCACTGGGACAACAGCGGAGACACGGGAACTGTAAGGACTACCAACAACACATGGGAACTAAAAATTGCCCAAAAATAACAACGTACACATAAGACAATCTCATACCATCGTTTCTTCAATAGAAAAATATAAAAATCCACACACACAGTGGACCTACTGCCCCAATAAATGTCTCCTCACACCTCCTAGCTAACACGGAGCTCTGACACGACCTTAACAAACACACGGCAAACACGATGCACAACAATATCCACGCGTGGACACAGTGCTCTACAAATACCACTTTGCAACACCTGGTTTCTCACAATTTCATTCAAACAAGGACAAAGATGTGCAGGACGTGAAAGAAACCCAACCCAACCACACAATTCTGGGCGGTGGGGTAACTGTGCTATTTTGCAAAACCAAACAAAACAAAACAAAAAAAACATTTAGATGGCTGCAGAGGACTTAACACTAACCATTCACAACAACAAAGAAAACACTTCAGATCCCAAGGGAAGGTGGGGGGATGCGCCCGCAGGGGGACCAAAAAAAACGGAACTTCAAACTCAATACCACCTTTCAAAACTAGGTCCTCCCACATGCAAAACAACAATGGCCCGATCAAGATGCAAATGGCTAGTCTTCAGGGAACACGTTGCTTGCCCGAGGACATGGACGCCCAAGAATGCCTTTGCATTTCAACATTTGCATTCAAACCACACCTTTGAGGATGACTTCAATTCGCTACAATTGGGGACCTTGCAAACCAACACTACCCTCACTGACTAAGGCCAGAAAAACATACCTGCAAAACACACAGGAAACACAACTACAAATCAACCCACAAATAAAACCAAACTTACATTTACCAATAAACTATGCTCAACGAATTAACATAGCATCAGAAAGTAAAACACAATCGATCGATCCTCCGAGTCTAACCGCATCCTGGGGGTGGGGGATGTTGCCCATAAGGAATGCCAGCAGGCACGATGCAAGAAACCACTTCATCCTGAAAACTTTACAGGCACCACACACCCCGGCACACGAACTTCACAAAGGAGGCTCAGACGCCTGCCGATGGGTTGAAGGGGTACACGGGTCCACAGGGCCTCGGACCAGGGAACATACCCTCCTCGCATGGCTCAGGGACATCGCCTCCCAACCACAACACTCACTCCACGGGAAAACATTCACATTCTCCACATGCCAATGCAATCTTCTTCTCAACGAATGAAAATCTAGAAATATGCCTCTGACGAATCACACATCACACTATTTCCTTTACAAATTAATTGAAAGGTACCCGCCTCACAATTGAATACAGACAAAATTTAGGGACACACGGCTCAGTTACAACACTTGGGGGGACGCAACATTAACCTAAACTTAAAAAGGCAAAGGGTCAACGCGTGCCTCATGGGACGTCACAAATAACAACACACCTTAGCTAGCCCTAAAGGGCTCCTCACCTGGAAGGCGCTCACAGGTTACCCCCTTGACAACACCCGCTACAGATCTCCACATAGGCACGTCAATATCCTCACATCACACACCACACAAAAATCTCTCAAGCACTATAACAAACAAACGTGTCTCATTGGCGAAGACTTGGCGACACCTGCTGAACAACGCGGAAAACGCCTTGTCAGCGAGACACCTCTCAGCACCATGGACAGACGCACAAACATAGCTCATCGCTGAGGACTTAGCGACACCTGCTGACCAACGGGGGAAGCGCCTTCACAACAGAACACCTCTCAGCACCGTGGACATGGACACGGTGCCTCGCAAAGAGGTTCATGGGAGCAAGTTGACAACAGGACGATCTTCTGCTCTCCTACATCCTTCAATTCAAACAAAGAGTCCTTCAATACCAGGAGATACTGCATTACAAATTTCTTACTTCAATTGAAAAACATTCACGCAAGATGCAATAAAATAAACAAATAGGAAAGCCTTTACCTTTCATCGCTTCTCTTACAGCACTAAATTTCAAACAATTCATCATTTTGGACTTTCTATGTCACACCTACCACAAAGTTCACCGATAATCACGTTTAAATTTTCACAAACGGAAAACGACACATCAAGGCCACTTTAAAAAATTCAACTAAAAACAATACGGGTTACAAGTAATGTTAATTGTTGCTGCACCCAGGTACATTGTTTCCCTTTTTATCCAATCCTAGGGGTTTCCCACGGCTTTACTTTATCCCATCTCCAACAATCCATCACCAATAAATTTCATGCAATCCACCTAGGGTCCTCTTTTGATTGCAATGAATAAATAGAAATGTTACCTACCATTCTTGGAAACATTATCTCAATCCTTTGACGTTCTCCTTCACGGAAAATGTCGACGGTTTGAATCATAAAAACTCACTAAAATCATTTACAGGTTTCAGTGTGCTTATTTCGTTAACACCCCTTAACAACAACCGCTACGAAGGGCCACATCGGCCCCGTCAACATACTCACATCACACATCACAGGGAAATCTCTTGAGAAAAACAACGCACAAACATTTCTCATTGGCGAGGACTTGGCGACACCTGCTGGCGAACACGGAAAACGCCTTCACAACGACAGACCTCAGCGCCGCGGACAGACACACGAAGACTTGCACTGAGGTTCCTGGTAGCAAGTGGACGAGAGGACGGTCTTCTGCACTTCGAGTCGAAAAACATACCTTCGATACCGGGAGACATTGCCTTTAATAAATCTTATTTCAGTAAAATAGCATTCGCACACGGCCTACAACAAAATAAACAGAGTTTTAACTTTACGTATCATCGCTTCTCTTTCAGCACTTCATTGAAAACACTTACTGAACCCGGACTTTACATGTCACACGATTCACAAAATTATGCCATCACGTTGGCACATTTAACATACGGAAATGGACACATTAAACTGACTGCAGCAAATCACAATTTCAACTGCAAGGACTACAGATGACACATGCTACAAACAGGACAAGGACAACATGTTCATTCACACTCGCTCAGGGAAAATGGGAGGCAAGGATTGCAGTGATCATCTTTAGTGCTCATTAGCACCACCATCCCGCTGATGATAACTCACTACAGCATCAACTCACAATTTACACACCTACACACTATCCACTCCAAAAAGGAGACGGAGGGGGGGAAGGGGGGGGACATCTCACTCAGGATGCCACTCCGTCACCTCACAGGAAAAATCCCCACAAAACTCTCTACATAACCCAAAAAGAAGGGGTGCAGGACACACAGCATGAACAATCACGAAAGCCAATTCTCCCTCATCATGGATTCTACAGCAGCATGACTTGATATTTCTCCCTCCTATCTCTTCCTTTACAAATTAACAAAATAATTTTGCAATAAATTAATAAAAATTAATAAAAAAAAAAAACACCACAGGGCCCTAAAAGGCATGCGTGGTTTTAATGGTCTCCTCTGCACTCAAAACTCCAAAGAACAGAGACAAAAGGAATGTTTGCTTGAGCATCAAGGATCCTGGGCCTCCAAACCTCGCCCTCAGCCTGTGACCATGCAGCCACGGTCAGGCGGCCCCAGGACAGGGTCCTCCAGAGAGAGATACCACTTCCTCTGCCTCCTCAAGTGACTCCTCCCAGTCCTCCTGCCGCTGCCACCTCCCTGACAGGCCTGCCCCACCCGCAAGCCCCGCAAGCTGCCACAGCAGCCACCGCGTTTCTCTCTGAGAGAAAATTACCCATTTCCATTGGTTTCAGCGATGGGGATCCACATCCACGGCGAGAATCGGCTGCCTCCTGCATCTCCACACCAGGCGTGGGGTCCCCAACCCGGGCAACGAACCAGGAATCAGATATGAGACCTTCCGATGCACAGTCCGAAGCTCAACCACTGAGCCACACTGCAGGGGCGCAGCCAGGTGCAATCGCTGTGCCGCGGAGAGAAAGACTGCTTGGCTGCGGGCTGTTAACTCTGTTAACTCAGGGTTCCCACCGCATTAACTTAGCGCTCCCACTGCATTTGCATGGGTCTGATCCAACACTGAGGAGGGGGCTCCCCCTAGCTCCCCATCTCTTGGGGTTCGGAGGTCAGGGGCGCCTCGGCTCTGTGCACTGTTCTAGTGGCCTCCCGGGGGACGTCTCTGCAGCCTGGAGGGTCCCCGATTCCAGACATTAGGATCAGCCACTTCAGCAAAGCGTTGAAGGGCTCCAGTCTGTGACAGGTTCCAGGAGGGGGACAGGGAGAGGCGAAGACTCCATGAAAAGTGCGCCTCTCACGGGAAGGGGGTGTCGGCGGGCTCTCTGGCCGCCTGCCGAGGGCATTCCTGTGACAACGGGCCACATGGCCATCCCGTCAGAGGACTGGAGCGCAGACAGGAATCAGAGTGAAACCCCGAAGGGGATGGCTTTGCAGGAGAAGGCCCTGGTTTATAGGAAATCGCCCCTGCTATTTGGGAGAAAACATTTGGGGGATCACAGTGTATAACATGGGTAATTTCAGATTGCGTGAAGAGAGGTCTCTGTGCTATACTTGTCACTTTACTCTAGTTTTGCTTTGGGACGGTTTAAAAAAAAAAAAATTTGAAAAACGCAATTCAAACTGTGTCCACAAGACGGCGACATAACATCCCAAAAGTGGTGTTAGCAGGTATATCGATTAATAAGGGGGATTTTTTTCCACATAGATGCTGTTATTAGTAATGAATTAAAACTTCCCCAAATGCTTTTTTTTTTTTTTTCATTAAACAACATTTTTAGGCGTTAAAATATCTATGATATTAACACCTTCAGAAAATAAAACATGAAGCTCTTTTGTTTTTTTACTTTATTTTATTGATTTTTTTAGAGAGGAAAAGATAGGATACAGAGTTGGAAACATCGATGAAAGAGAATCAGCAGTCAGCAGCCTGTTGCACAGCCCCTACTGGGTATTTGGCTGAAACCCAAGTATGTGCCCTTGACTGGAATCAAACCTGGGATCTTTCCTCCTGCCACTGCCACCTCACCTGACAGGCCGTCCCCACCCGAAGCCCTGCAAGCTGACACAGCCGCCAGTGTGTTTCTTTGTGAAAGAAAAACAACATATTTTTATTGATTTCAGCGACGGGGATACACATCCACGGTGAGAATCGGCTGCCTTCTGCTCCTCCGCACCAGGGATGGAGGTCCTGCGGGTGGGGTGGCATTGGCCGCATCGGATCAGCTCTGAGTAGGTGCCCAGCTCAGTCGGGAATTCAGCTGCCCCAGCAAGGCTGTCGGTGGGGGGGAAAAAAAGGCAATTATAAAACAATTACGTATTTATTGATTTGGGAGGAAGAGAAACAGCAATGACGAGAATCATGGATCAGCTGCTTCCTGCATGTTCCCTACTGGATGGGGATGGAGCCTGCAACCAGGGCATGTATCCTGACCAAGAAAGGAACTGGGACCATCTGGTTCATAGGCTGATGCTCAAACCACTGAACCACAGCGCACAGGGCTGCACTATTTTTTTTATTCTGCCCTCTCCGCCCCCCCCCCCCCCATGGTTGTCTCCAAGACCTGAAACTGACGGCCACCATCAGCCAGTCAGTGTCTGGCCGTGGGGCTGCTGTCGCACTGGAATGGAACCCGTCAGCCACAGCACGGCCACAGGTCACGAACAGCGCTGGGCAGGACTGTGTGTGAAAGGTGCCCTCCCTTCTCTACAGCAGCTAAAACTAAATAAACATTTGTGAGATTTTCAGAAAAAAATAGATATTTAAGATTTTAAACCTTTTCCAGTTCCAGTTCCATTAAGCGTCCCTTTGTCCTCAATGGCTGATGAGGTCAAGGCCTGGCAGGGAGTTGTTGTAAAGGACTCGCTGTCCCTGGGTCAGGGAGATAAGTGAACTGAGCGACACAGGCGGGTCCAGGTCACCCTGTGGGAGGAGAGCAGACCCCCTGTGAGACACTTCGCACTGCAGCTGCATCGTAGCGAGGCCCCCCTGGTCCTGTCCTCCCGCTCCGGCTCCTGATCGGCTTCTAGCGAACAAGCAGGATGATATCCTTGAGCTTCTGCACCTTCCCGCCTTGGCCATGACAGCTTCTGTACCCTCAGAGGTGCTGCCTTAAAAAGCCCGTTAAACACACAGCGAGATGGTGTGTGGGCCGCAATGGCTCAGGACCTCTTTGTCTAGGCGGGTAGAGGTGACACTGGTCATCTTTAAATGTAGACAGATGTGGACAGACAGCGGTGGTGACAGCCAGAAGGGGAGGCGGGGGTTGGGGCGTCGTACCAGTGCCAACAGCAGCAGGAACAACGGGGATGATGCCTATGTTTGCCGCCTACAGTGCCAAGGACAGAGCCCACCTGCTTAACAATCATCTTCTAAGCTGTTCCTGGGAGAGCTGGAGGCACAGGAGGGGGAGCAGTGAGGAGGGAAGACTTACAGGAGTGAGACACGTCAGTTCCAGGAAAATTACATGAACTCAGACCCCCAGCAGCCACACCAAATGCAGAGACGGGCCATCTCCTTGGGAGACAGATGCCAGGTGGATGGGACCCATCACGGGCTGCTTCCCAGAGTCAGACGAAGGTGGAGGAGAGGGATGGGGGGACGAGAGAGCGGGAGGCACTGCCCGGACCTCCCCAACTTCTGCAGGATGTGGAGCCTCCCGCCACCTGGACACCCGACCCCGGGGCTCACCATGATGAGGACGAGCTCCTGAGGCAGGGCAGAGCCTGGTCCAGCGCCTCGATGACGGGGCTGCAACACAGCAGAAGCCGAGTCAGCGATGGGGAAGCCGCGGACAATGTGACACCATCCTGCTCGGAGGAGTTCAGACTCCAAGTGGCCAGAACCTAGGAGGCCGCTCTCCTGAACCCGAGCGAAAAAAGCACAAAGGAAGACCCTGGTCCGAGGCCCCAGGGCGAGCGAGAGCAGGATGGTGCTTGGGACCCACACTTCCCGGAGGCTGTCGTGGCCTCTTCCGGCTCACACACTAAGGACACCAAGAAAAGGAGGAACCCCAGGTGGCCGGTGTGGCTCAGTGTTTGAGCATCCACCTAGGAACCAGGATGTCACGGTTCCATTCCCAGTCAGGGCACCTATCCGGGTTGTGGGCTCCATCCCCACTGGTGGGCGTGCAGGAGGCAGCCGATCCAGGATTCTCGAGAGCATCAGTGAAGCATCTCTCTCTCTCTCTCTCTCTCTCTCTCTCTCCCCCTTCTCTCTGAAATCAGTAAGAGTATTTTGGGGGTCAGAATCCAGGTGCTGCAGAACTTGATTGATGACATGGGGTGGGCCATGAGATAAGAAAAAGGCGGGAAACTGCTGGGCCAGCCCAGGACAAGTTCAGCTCTCACCTGCGAGAGAAGTTTCCTCATTACACCGGGAACCAGATCGCCGGCCCGGCAGACACCATGTCCTGTTGTTCAACAGGAGGGTCTTCAGTCTCCTCAGCAGGGGGAAGCCGTCCAGTTTCCAGATTTCATTCTCAGAAAACCAAGGACATCCAGCTGGTCTAAGGTGGCACACAGATTCTCGATGACAGGGATTTTATATCCTGTGACAGAGGAAAGCCCACGGGAGGAATGACAGGAATGAAAGGCACGAGGCCCATCAGAACTTCCCTGTCATTTCTCTCCAAGCTGGTATTCATTCATACATTCAGCAAGTGTTTACCTAGGCCCGGCCGGTGCTGCTCAATGGTTGAGCATCCACCTGTTAACCAGGAGGTCACGGCTCGAATCCCGGTCAGGGCACAGGCCCGGGTTGTGGGCTCGATCAGCAGTGTGGAGGCAGCCAATTCATGATTCTCTCTCAATATTGCCCGCTTTCTCTCTCTTTTTCTTTCTCCCCACCCCCTCCCTAAAAAAAGCAAAGCACAAGCAGGTGCCCTGTCCACACTCTGCCGCCATCGCGCACCGTGTTTCCTGAGAACCAGCCGCTCGCTCGGTGCTGCAGTCACGGCCTCCGAGTCAGGACCGGACACGGGCCCACGGGTCCCGGCCGGGAGTGACCCCAGTCCGGTCCCCAAGCCGCCGGCCGGGCCAGGAGCCCGCGGGATGGTCCCTCCGCCCCGCCGGCCAGACGCGCCCGGGACCGCCCGGCGCAGCTCGCCCACCGCGGGGCCCCCGAGGCCGCCCGCTGCCCGCGCTAACCAAGCAGGCCCGGCTCGCGGCCCCGCACGGCGCTGTGCACCGCGCCGCCCGCTCCATCCGCTCCGCCGTCCGCTCTGCCATCCCGCCGCGGCCGGGCCTCCCGCCACACAGTCCCCTCTGCGGCCCAGACACACTTCCCGGCGTGCCCCGCGCTCACCCAGACGCTCCTCCAGTCTTGTCCCGCCTCCCGAACTGCCGCACTTCCGGTCGTACATCACCACGAAAGCCTGACGCACTTCCCAGCGTGCGTCGCGACGGACGCAAGACGCACCTTCTGGCACTCTACGTGGCGACGCTGCCACACTTCCCGGCGTGCGTCGCGACCGACGCATGACGCACTTCCCAGAATGCAGAGCGACCGAAGCAAGACACACCTCCCGGCATGCACAGCGGCTGCGCGGCCACACTTCCCGGCGTTCTTAGCGCCGTGCGTGTGACGCACTTCCGGGCGTTCACCGGGTCCGCTGGAACTACATTTCCCAGCTTGCGTTGCGACTGTCGCTAAGCAACGTTTATTGCTGAGGCCAGCTTAAAGAGCCCGCTGCTGGGCGTCCAGGCCAGAGCAAAGGAGGAGTCCGGCTCCTATTCTCTTGCGGTTTGGAGACCCAGGGCCACTTGGCTACGTTCTCCCATTCTGCTTGGATTCAAGGGGGCATCTGTGGAGCCTATAGGGTCCTAAATTCCAGACATTAGTATCTGCCAGTTCAAGAAAGTGTTAAAAGCGCTCCGGTCTTTAAAAGGTTCCTGGAGGGGAACCGGGAGAGGCGAAGACTCCATGCAAAGTGCGCCTCTCACGGGAAGGGGGTGTCGGCGGGTTCTCTGGCCGCCTGCCGAGGGCATTTCTGGGACAACCGGCAACATTGCGATCCCGATCCGGTCAGAGGACTGGAAAGCAGACACGCATCAGAGTGAACCCCCGATGCTGATTGTTGTACAGGTCAAGGCCCTGGTTTACAGGAAATCGCCCATGCTATTTGGGAGGAAAAAAATAAAAACGTTTGCGGGGTTACAGGGGTAATTTCAGATTGCTCGTGCTATGCTTGTACTTTTGCTTTGGGATGGCTGGGGGAGAAAAAAAAATAAAAAGTTTGAGCGGTGCAATACCAGATGTGTCCACAAGGCGGCGACATAACATCCCAAAAGCGGTGTGAGCAGGTATATCGATTAATAACGGGGATTTTCCACCCCATTGATGCAGTTATTAATGTTGAACTAAAACTCCATGGAAATGCTCCTTTTTAAAAAAAATTTCTTTAAATGATTTTTCACAGAGAGGAAAGGAGAGAGATAGACAGTTGGAAACATCAATGAGAGTCATTGACCAGCTGCCTCTTGCACACCCCCTACCGTGGATGTGCGCGCAACCAAGGTACATGCCCTTGACCGGAATCGAACCAGGGACGCTTCAGTCCGCAGGCCGACGCTCTATCCACTGAGAAAAAATCAATTTCGGCAAATGCTCCTTATTTTTGGCATTAAACTGGACGTTTTGAGGCGTTTAAATATCTATGATGTTAACGCCTTCAGAAAATATGACATGAAGTTTTGAAGAAAGTTATTCGAAATAGCATCTCTTTCAAATCGCATATATATCCATCCAATTATGTGCACTTGCCGTTATGCTTACCAGGATTTAAGAAAGTCTATTTTTTATTTTTTTAAAAATATATCTTATTGATTTTTTACAGGGAGGAAGGGAGAGGGATAGAAAGCTAGGAACATGGTTGAGAGAGAAACATGGACCAGCTGCCTCCTGCACACCCACCGCTGGGGATGTGCACACAACCAATGTACATACCCTTAATCGGAATCGGACCAGGGACCCATCAGTCCGCAGGCCCAGGCTCTTGCCACTGAACCAAACCGGATGCGGCAAATTTTTTTTTTTTTTTAATACGTTATGGATCTCCGAGGGAAAAGGAGATAGAGAAAGAGAGAAACAGCAAAGAGAAAACCTTCCATGGGCTGCCTCCCGCACGCCCACTCTGGGGATGGAGCCCACAGCCTGGCATGTGCCATGCCCGGGAACCGAACTGCACGACCTCCCGCTTCATAGCTGGAAGCTCAACCACAGAGCCACACCGGCCTGAGGGCATCGGTGGTGCTAACGGTCTCCTCTGCACTCAAAGCTCCAAAGAACAGAGACAAACAGAACATTTGCTTGAGACTCGGAGGTGAACTTACCAGGCACTGCAAGCTGCGGGTCCTTCGGGAGGAACTCTGCTGTCCAACCCTCAACCCCAGCCTGCGACCCTGCAGCCACGGTCAGGCGGCCCCAGGACAGGGCCCTCCCGAGAGAGACACCAATTCCTCTGGCTCCTCAAGTGCCTCCTTCCAGGCCTCCTACCGCTGCCACCTCCCTGACAGGCCTGCCCGGCCCGCAGCCCCGCAAGCTGGCACAGCCGCCACCGCGTTTCTCTCTGAGAGAAAACAACCCCTTTTCATCGCTTTCAGCGACGGGGATCCACATCCACGGCGAGAATCGGCTGCCTCCTGCACCTCCACACCAGGCGTGGCGGCCCCAAACCGCCATGGATTCGGGAATAGGATCTGAGACCTTCCGATAAACAGTCCGAAGCTCAACCACTGAGCCACACTGCAGGGGCGCAGCCAGGTGCAATCGCTGTGCCCGGGAGAGAAAGACTGCTTGGCTGCGGGCTGTTAACTCTGTTAACTCAGGGTTCCCACCGCATTAACTTAGCGCTCCCACTGCATTTGCATGGGTCTCATCAACCCCTGAGGAGGGGGTTCCCCTTAGCTCCCCATCTCTTGGGGTTCGGAGGTCAGGGGCGCCTCGGCTCGGTCCCCGGTTCTGGTTGCCTTCCGGGGGGCGTCTCTGCAGCCTGGAGGGTCCCCGATTCCAGACATTAGGATCAGCCGCTTCAGCAAAGCGTTAAAGGGCTCCAGTCTGTGACAGGTTCCAAGAGGGGGACCGGGAGAGGCGAAGACTCCACGCAAAGTGCGCCTCTCACGGGAAGGGGGTGTCGGCGGGGTCTCTGGCCGCCTGCCGAGGGCATTCTTGTGACAACGGGCCACATGGCCATCCCGTCAGAGGACTGGAGGGCAGACACGAATCAGCCGAAACACCCGATGCGGAAGTTTGTGCACGAGAAGGCCCTGGTTTATAGGACCTCGCCTCTGCTATTTGGGAGGAAAAAATTAAAACGTTTGCGGGTTCACAGGGTATCTATCACACGGGTAATGTCAGATTGCTCGTGAACAGAGGTCTCTGTGCTATACTTGTCACTTTACTGTACTCTTGCTTTGGGATGGCTTAAAAAAAAAAAAAGAAAAAAAAAAAAAAGTTTAAGCGGTGCATTACCAGATGTGTCCACAAGACGGCGACATAACATCCCAAAAGCGGTGTTAGCAGGTATATCGATTAATAACGGAGATTTTATCCCCCCATAGATACAGTTATTAATGATGGACATAACTCCCAGGAAATGCTTCTTTTATGGCATTAAACACGACGTTTTTAGGCGTTAAAATGACTATGATGGTAACGCCTTCAAAATATGACATGAAAAAATGAAGATTATTTATTCTAAAGAGCATAAGTATCAAATTGCATATATATCCACATAAGTGCACATGCCATTTTGCTTACCGGGCTTTAAGGAAAAAAATGTTTTTCTTCAATATGTTATGTATCTCAGAGGAGAAGGGAGAGGGAGAGAGAGAGAGACGGAGACATACGAAAGATTAGAGAAAACCATCCATTGGCTGCTACATGCAAACCCCACTCTGGGGATGGAGCCCACAACCTGGCTTGTGCCCTGACCGGGAATGGAACCGCACGACCTCCCGCTTCATAGATGGAAGCTCAACCACAGAACCACACCGGCCGGAGGGCATTGGTGGTGTTAACGGTCTGCACTCAAAGCTCCAAAGAACAGAGACAAAAAGAACATCTGCTTGAGACTCGGAGGTGAACTTACCTGGCACTGGAAGCTGCGGGTCCTTCGGGAGGGACTCTGCTGTCCAACCCTCACCCCCAGCCTGCAACCCTGCAGCCATGGTCAGGCGGCCCCAGGACAGGGACCTCCCCAGAGAGATACCACTTCCTCTGCCTCCTCAATGCCTCCTCCCAGGCCTCCTGCCGCTGACACCTCCCTGACAGGCCTGCCCCGCCTGCAGCCCCCAAGCTGCCACAGCAGCTAGCGCGTCTCTCTCTGAGAGAAAATTACCCATTTCCATTGGTTTCAGCGACGGGGACACACATCCACGGCGAGAATCGGCTGCCTTCTGCATCTTCACACTAGGCGTGGAGGACCCAACACGGGCATCAAACCAGAAATCAGATCTGAGACCTTTCGATGTACAGTCCGAAGCTCAACCACTGAGCCACACTGCAGGGGCGCAGCCAGGTGAAATCGCTGTGCCCGGGAAAGACTGTCACACTGCATTTGCCTGGGTTTGATCCACCCCTGCAGAGGGGGGTCGACCTAGCTCCCCATGTCTTGGGGCTCGAAGTTCCGGGGCACCTTGGCTCCGTCCCTTGTACTGGTTGCCTTCCGGGGGGCGTCTCTGCAGCCTGGAAGATCCCCGATTACAGACATTATTATCTGCTGCTTCAATAAAGTGTTAAAGCGCTCCAGTCTGTGACAGGTTCCAGGAGGGGGACCGTGAGAGGGGAAGACTCCATGCAAAGTGCGCCTCTCACGGGAAGGGGTTGGCAGCGGGGTCTCTGGCTGCCTGCCGAGGGCATTCCTGGGACAATGGGCCACATTGAACTCATGTCAGAGAACTAGACAGCAAAAAAGCATCAGCATGAACATGTGGATGCTGATGGTTGTGCAGGAGTAGGACCTGGTTTATAGGAAATTGCCCATGAAGTTTTGGGGAGAAAAATAAAAAATAATGGGGGTTCACAGGGTTTCTCACGTGTAATTGCAGATTGCTCATGAAGAGACATATATCTCTGAGCTACACTAGTAACTTCTCTGTAGTTTTGCTTTGGGATAGCTAAAAATTAAAAATTTAAACTACACAATTCCAGGTATGTCCACAAGGCGGCGACAAAAGATCACAAAACTGGTTTTTCCAGCTATAGCAGTTATTAATGTGGATTTCCCCAATAGATGGACTTAGTAGTAATGAACTAAATCTTCCCGCAAATGCTCTTTTAATTTGGCAGTAGATTCGATATTATTAGGAGTTAAAACACCTACGATGTTATCGCATTCAGAAACTTTGACATGAAGTTTTGAAGCTTGTTGTTAATAAAACAAAATAGCATACATATCCAAAGGCATATATATCAACATATGTGTGCTTGCCATTTTGCTTAATGGGCTTTAAGAGAAGCTCCGTGTATGTTTGTGATTTTATTTTATTTTTTATTTATTTCTTAATATTTTTTATTGATTTTGTACAGATAGGAAGGGAGAGAGAAAGAAAGCTAGAAACATCAATGAGTCATCGATCAGCTGCCTCTTGCACAGCCCCCACTGGGGATATGCCCGCAACCAAGGTACATGCCCTTGACCGGAATCGAACCCGGGTCCCTTCAGTCCCCAAGCCGACGCTCTATCCATTCAGCCAAACCGGTCTCCGCGTATGTTTGTGATTTTAATATGTTATGGATCTCAGAGGGGAAAAGAGAGACATACCAAAGATTATATATAGAGAACCATCCATTGGCTGCTTGGTGCAAGCCCACAACCTGGCTTGTGCCCTGAACGGGAGTGGCAGGCACAGCAGAGTTGGGATGCGTGACAGCGTTTGAGGATAATCCAAGGATAAGATCTTTGTTCTTTTTTATTTTTTTAACTGTTTTTATTGATTTCAGAGAGGGAGAGGGAGAGATAGAAACATCAATGATGAAAGCAAATCACAAATCGGCTGCCTAATGCACACCAGGGACCAGGGATTGAACCCGCAATTCAGGCATGTGCCCTGACTGGGAATCTAACCGGTGACCCACACCAGCCGGGCTTTGTTCTTTAAAAATAAAAATGACCTAGGAAGGGCAGGGACAGATTAAGGTGGGGATGACATATGTATCCACTTCAGACTTTCATCCACAATGGAAAAAAAAAAAAAAAAGCATTTTCACAGACTTAAAACTATCATTAGTGCACTCAGATTTTGGTGAAAAATTTTAATACCGCTACGATAATACAAAGTTAACAAAAATTGGCCAGGTAATGAGGTTATTTTTGTGAGCTACCATCATTTAAATATAAGAAAAGTAATTTCTTGGTCCAAATTAAGTAAGACCTTAAAAAAGATTGTCTCTAGAGAACATTGTTTGAAAACACTGCTTTTTTTCGACACATTCTGATTCTAAAGTTCACTTTATAACAATTATCAACTTTTGAATTTTTGTTTCTTAAAAAGCTGTCAGATTTCCATTTCTTCGGGAGACATTCTCCCCAGTGTGCTGCTCAATCCCACAGGTTACACTTTCTTCGTTACTTAGAACTTCGTACATATTAGTGAGATTGCCGTTCATCGCTCTTTCATCTTTTCGGAAGGACACGGGAAGGCTTGCTAGACTAAAGCTGACATCTTTGAAGGCGTGCAACAGAAATATCCCCACAATGATAGTGCAGAAGCCACTCAAGGTGCCGATGATGTCGTCCACTGGCATGTCCTGCCACTCCTTAAAGAGAATCGCCGAGCAGGTGAGCACGGAGGTGGTGAAGAAGACATAGTAGATGGGAGTGACGAGGGAAGTGTTGAATATGTCCAGAGCCCTGTTCAGGTAGTTGATCTGTGTGCTCACACACACCAGGAGGCTCAGGAGCAGGGCCCATGCCAGGGGGTGCTGCAGGACAGGCTGGCCAGCAAACAGCTCCTTGATCGCGATGCCCAGGCCCTTCACGCAGGAGACGGAAAACGCTCCGATCACAGAGCAGATGGTGATGTACACGAGAATGTTCGTCTGTCCGTGGCGGGGTCCCACCACGAAGATGAGTATCAGGGACACAATGACCACAAGGGTTGCGAAGACCACAAAACCTGGAGGAGGCAGAGACAAATCTTTAACAATTTTTGTTTTTTAGACAGGAAGGGAGAGGGACAGAAACATCAAGGACAGAGAAACGTCAGCAATCAGCTGCCTGAACTGGGAATTGAACCCATGACTTCCTGGTTCATATGTCAACACTCAACTGCTGAGGCACACCAGCAGGGCAACACAAGTTATATTTCATCAAATATTTAAACATTAAAGGGAAACTGAGAAGCAGAAAATACAATAAATATTAACTTCAAAGGAAGGCGAGGGTTGGCCCTACAATAAAAAAAGCTTCTTCTGCCCTAACTGGTTTGCCTCAGTGGAGAGCGTTGGCCTGTGAACTGAAGGGTCCCAGGTTTGATTCTGGCCAAGGACACAGGCCTAGGTTGCAGGCTCAATCACCAACAGGGGGCGTGCAAGAGGCAGCCGGTCCATGATTCCCTCTCATCATGGATGTTTCTCTCTCCTGCTCCCTCTCCCTTCCTCTCTGAAACCCATAAAAATACATTAAAAAAAATTTAAAAAATACCAGCTTCTGCTGCTGCCCTGGCAACAGCACTCACCACACTTCAGTCATAGGATTGAACAGATTCCACCAACTCTGACCCGGGAGCACCTGGCAGCCCTATGGCACTTGCTAAAGTACCCTGGGAAAGTAGTTTCAAACTGACAAGTCGTCACTCCTGGGCCTGAGGTCTTCCTGACTTCCTCTCTGCCGTGCCGGAGGCAGCCAGGACGGAGCAGGTGTCTCCAGCCTGCCGTCCTCTGTGCTCAGCCTCCCCCAGAACTCACCTCCTCACTTCACCTTCAACACAGCCTTCCCAGCTCAGCTCCTTCCAGGCCTCTCCCACCTACCTAAGCATGGTTTCAGTTCCTTTGTCAGGCTTTGCACTTTCACCACCTCATCCCGCCTTCACTCTCAAGCCTGACGTCCCACTCTGCTGTAAATACCCTCTGTTCCCACCCCGCAGCTCACACACTCCTGCCCCATGGGTTTCTTTCAAGGTCTGATTTTAATCTTACTTTGAAAAAGTAGTTATCTAGTTGTTGTTCATTCTCTCTTAGCACCAGAACCTCTACCTATTCCCTCACCAAAAGGAAATATTTATTTTGTTTGTATGGCTCGTGCAAAATAAATATTTTGGTGTGCTACAAAAACAAAGACAAAATATAACAAATCACCAAGTACCCAGCACAATGGCTAAAAACTGACCCACATGTACGGAAATTTAAGACAGTGAGGGCCCAATAGGATACCTTAACAGGCTACCCAAGTCTAATGACTGATTCCATATAAAACAAAGATAAAGGATCAGCTGTGTCTGGATGGTTGGCAAGCAAGTGAAGAGACAAGGTAGACGAGAGACAACTGGATATGCGTGCAGATTCAAAAAGGCCATGTCTTCTGTGCCTCTGCGCCTCCTGCAAAAGTGGTTTCACCGGAAGGAGGGGCAAACCCAGGGTTCAGGGAACAAGATGTCCAGGGAAAAAGCAGAAATGACTGGGAGCCCAGATGCTGAAATGAAGGAAACTAGGCTGACCCCTCAACAGCAATGATGTGAGGCCAGCAGCCCTGGGAGAGGTCCCCAAGAGCCTTAACGGCAAGGAGAACTCAGTGTCTGCGATTCACGACAGAGAATCAAACCCCTGACTGAGCATTCTGGATGGATGCACTCATTTTCACAGAAAACTAAGCAGCCGAGATCACTATCTGCTCAGGTAAAACTTAAACAAGAAAGTAAAAGTCACGCCAGAGGGAATGGTTGCTAGAGGGGAGGTGAAGGGAAGCGGTAAGTCTGCGAGTGACGGTTACTCAACTCAGTGTGTACACCACACCCTAAGGCGTGCCTATGCATGTCAGATCACGCTATCATGCTCATAAAACTAAGCTAATGTTGTATACATACTCCACTTAAATATGAAAACAAAGAAAAAGTAATCGATGTGCCAAAACATATCGTTATAACATATATGTCTAACCCGAGAATAACAATTATGTACTGAAAAACGTAAACAGATCACTTAAGCAAAACCAGAAAGATTCAACAAGAGATGTCGCAGATAATGCCTGCAATCGAGGAAGTAACCGGCCATACAAAACAATCTGCCTCTTTGTATACATGTAACTTTTCCTTTAAATCCTAACCCAAGTACACTTTTTTGATTTATTTAGTTAGAGTGGAAGGGAGGGCGGAGGTGAAGGCAGGGGAGAGGGGAGAAAGAGACACTGATGTGAGAGGCACATCAATTGGTTGCTTCCCACAGACGCCCTAACCCGGGCCAAAGACTGATCCTGCAACCCAGGTATGTGCTATCAACCGGGAATTAAACCCTGGAGCCCTCAATGTGCGGGCTGAGGCTCTAACCATTGAACCAGCAGCCAAGGCTTAAAGTTTGGATTAAAATTTAAAAAATAAAGAGTGAAAAGGCAGTAAGATTCATGAAGCTTTTGTTTTTTCTGACCTGGATCCCCGAGCTTGTGTGACATCTCGTTTAAAGTCTCGATCTCCTCTTCCTTTGGCGCGTGAATAACCATTACTGTGGAGCCCAGAATGCTCAGCAAGCACCCAATCTTCCCGTGAAGATTCAGCCTTTCATTGAGGAAGTAGGAAGAAAGAATGGCACTAACATTGGGGGAGGGAGGAAAGTGTATAAGATTAGAATAATGGGATACTTTTCTCATCTTTAAATATCAACACGATTCTGAATAATGGAAATCGAACTGAAACATGGTGAGTTTATAAATATTCTGGCTTCCGGTAAAGGTCTAGAAAATGTCTCCAACCATAAAATTGAAGCTTCTAGGGAAACACCTGCTTCACCACACACTACACCGGTAGAGCAACCATTTTAGGCTGCTGCGGGAAATCAATATGAAGCTTACAGTAAATGGAGCTAGGTAAGAATTTATATTCTACTCAAGAATCTATGTTCAAGCCAATGCTTAATATTTACTGAACTTTAATTTGTCCTTAAACATGGAAGCAGACTTCTTAGATGTTCATTTAATTCTATATAACTTGCCTGTTGTCAACTTTAAATACTTTATAGCTAGTTTTATCAAAATACAATATAAACATAACACTGGTGACATATACACAAACATAAGGATCAAAGACATATACGATATCTTTATATACAGTATATGCACCTACACACAAACACAACCTTGTGGGCGGTAGGGGGAGAAGGATACAAATCCCTGTCAATCAGCTTTGGGAACAGTAGCCAGAATCCAGGCTTCCATGTGGGTGAGCTGGTCGACGAGTCTGGGACTGCTCGGTCCAGGCAAGCACCTGGCCAGTCTCAGACGCACCTTTACTGCCCTATCAACTGTTGGGAGCTGCCCTGAAAACAGGGGACTTTTTTCCTCGGAGCTGCCCTGAAAGCAGGGGTCTCTTGGTGGACACAGCTCTGTTAGGACAAAAGTCATAGCTCTCATGAGAACGTGCTGTTCAGCTTGTTTTGCAGCTTGTTAATGTAAAAATACTACTGACATTTTTAAAGAACAACATATACTGTTTAACCTGCTGCTTGCGTATAGATTAGGAAACAATTCTCTGCTTACGTGCAGAAACAAAGATGTGGTGCTGGGTAAATACTTAGCACTCACCCACCACTTGTGCACATGGGTCAGAAGATAACCATAGTGACAAGTGCAGCTTGGAATTTTAACAAGTTCAAAGCACAGTAAAACTAGTGCTGGCTCTGAACACACAGAGACAAAGCAGGAAAGCATTTGCCACACAAATGGACAGCTTCCTATCCACAGAATATAACCTTTTAAAGCAGATTACGACTGCTATTTAGTAGTTCTCAAGGGTTATGTGTAAATCACACGGACATCACTGAGTACATCCCAGTGTAACACACTAACTGCTGTTCTCCCGTGCAGCAGTGTCCTTACCTGACGAGGACGCTGAGCGCTCCCAGCGGAGTCACGAGGGTGGCTGGGGCAAAGGCGTATGCGGCAAAGTTGGCCACCTCACCGGCTCCCACTTGGAGATAAACAACAACGAAAAACTCTCAGACAGGAACACAGCTACTCAACATGGAGAACTTGCATTTGCTTACATGCACATCTGCATACACTAAGCGTGAGGTGACAGTGTTCCTCATGTCATTCCCACCGGCTCTTACCAGCGACTGGGTTGCAAGCTGGATCCCTGGCCCATGTGGGGTGCGTGAGGAAGGCAACCAATCAATGTCTCTCTCTCATGGCAATGTTTCTCTTTCTCTCCCCTCACTCTTACTCTCTCTAAAGAAAAATGGGAAAAATATGCTTGGGTGAGGATTAACAAAAATTAAAAAATTTAATAAATTAAATTAAAAAATAAAATAGATAAAACCAATAAAAACATATCCTTTGCCGAGACCGGTTTGGCTCAGTGGATAGAGCGTCGGCTTGGGGACTGAAGGGACCCGGGTTCGGTTCCGGTTGGGGGCATGTGCCTTGGTTGCAGGCATATCCCCGGTGGGGGGTGTGCAGGAGGCAGCTGATCGATGACTCTCTCTCATCGATGTTTCTAACTCTCTCTCTCTCTCCCTCCCTTCCTCTCTGTGCAAAGTCAATAAAATATATTTAAAAAAACAAAACAAAAAAAACCCATATCCTTTGCTGAGTCTTACAAAATCTATTTATAAAAGCCCAAGCAACCATATGGCGAAACAACCGGAATGACTGGTTGCTAAAATTAAAATGCACACTGACCACCAGGGGGCAGACAACGCAGGCCATGCTCATGGTTGGTGAGCACAGCAGTCTCTCCCGCCTCTGTGGCAGCACTAAGGAGCAAGGAGCGAGGGGTCCTGCACTGGGAGAGGGCGCAGACTGGGCTGAGGGACACCTATCCAGTGGAGGAATTTTTTGCCACGGGACAATAGTATAAATATGTATGTATCTATTTTTTAAATTATCTTTATTGATTTCAGAGAAGAAGGGAGAGAGAGAAAAAGAGATAGAAACATCAATATAAGAGACAGTGATCTGCTGCCTCCTACTTGCCTCACACTAGAGATTGAGCCCACAACCTGGAATATGTCCTTGATGGGAATCAAACCCGAGACCCTTCAGTCTGAAAGTTGATGCTCTATCCACTGAGCAGAACCAGCTAGTGCTAAATATATATTTTAAATAGGACTTGACATTTTAAACTTTGCAAGTAATAATAAACTGTAACTGAATCTGCAAACATTTAGTATACAACTGCATTTCCTTGAAAAAGTCTCTATACATACTTGAGAGCAGTCCAGCCCACCACAGCCACTCTTTAAGATATGCATGGCCACCTTGACCTGTGGATGAAACGACATTTCACGTTTTGGAAAATTATCAGATGACCACAAACTTATAACAAATATGTAATGAAAGACTTTAGAATCTCATGTTAAGTACTACTACTTTAAATAAAAGTTCAATCATCTATAAAGGGATATCTTAGATAACATATTTAAGATTATACAATAAAAGAGGATGGGAGGGTCATCAATATCTTTAAAATTTTTAGGTCAAGTGAAAGGATTAAATCAATCTTATACTTCCTTGTGAACATGCAGTTTCAGTAAACAAAGTGAGCCAGTAAAAAGTAGCACAACTTCTAAAAGGTTAGTCTTCCAGCAGACAAGTCATTTAGGAATGGTCACCCCACATCTGGGCGGTGACCTCCAAAGAGGTTCCTTACTGCCCAGACATGAAAAGACCAAGCACGGCTCAGTCCGAGCTGCCACTGCGCTCTTCCTGCCTTTTCACCTGACTTTGACCCCAACCAAAGCAACACAATCAGCAAGCGGCAGGTCAGCCACCGCCACCAGGAAACATGCAAACAAGGCCCTGACAGTGTCTCCTCCAGGGCTAATGCTCGCCTGGGACTGACCAAGAGTGAGGGGCCACCTGCTCAAGCAGCACAGGCCAGTTCTGTCTCCTCTGCCCACGAAAGGGCAGCAGACACTCAGTGTCAGCTGCCTGCGAGGGGCCAGCCATGGAAATGGCACAGGAAACAGGGAGGTGGTATTTTACTGCCAAAGAGGGTCATCTGAGGTCAGAAACGGATTCAGAGCTGCCTCAGAGGCTGAAGGCAGAACATGACCAGATGTCATACAAACCTGGCAACTGTCACGAGTGACCAGGCCAGAGTGGGCTCCCATCACACCAGGGTCCCCCAGGGTCTCCTGTAAGCAGGAACTGGGCAGACAACCGACCCCGCCTTCAGAAGTTCAATGATGGAGGACTCTTCATCCAAGGGACACCCTCTCATGGGGAACAAAGCCCACGGGGAAAACCCAGCTTCCCCTGTCTCAGAGGAAAGCCCCCGCCTTCCACAGGATTCTCCAGGTCAGAGCCGATGCCTGCTCTACAGACACCACAAGGTTTAGGGAAAGGGCCAAGTGCTCAATGGCCACTGGTCCCTAATCCGATTGGTAAAAACCACAGGAGATATTTTCTCCCTTACTTTACTGTTTAGAAAACTGGCGTTTGATTCTCCATAAGCATTTACTACTCTTGCAGCTGGCGGTGTTGACAACACTCCCGAGGGAGGAAGAGGCGGGCTCTGCAGGCCCAGCCCTGAGCACACCACACAGCGCCCCGCAGAGGGCCGGGGGGAGCAGGGACACACACACACAGGACCTGCCTGCTCTCATGGATCCTTTGCGGGCCAGTCGCAGAAGGCCTTTCTTCTTTAAAATGAAGCTCCCTCCAATGAAGATGCTGGAGCTCATAGCCAGCCCCAGGCCGATGCAGAAGTCATACTTCCCCCGCCCCGGGCTCATGGCGTTTGCTGTGGAGGAGCTGCCGAGTCACATGGATCTCAGGGCTGCAATGCTGGTGCCGCAGGCGAGGATACGGTTTCCAAACCTGCAGGAGGCAACACGAGATCCTCACGTGATGATCAGGAGCACATTCCAGACCCACCCGGAGCCCACTTCCCTCAGAGGACACCCTGCTGTTCACCATGATCGAAGCGATGCGCTCGAGGCTGAGAAGATGGCACCGTAATAGAAACCAGTAGAGACCCAAAGCATGATATTTGTGCAAAAGTAGGCCCTCCTTCCCCCGGCTGCCCGAGCCAGCTTCCCTCCAGCTGCCGAACTCATGGGACCAGAGAACAGAGTGGAGGTACCGGTAGGGGACTAGGGGGTGCTAGGATGGACAAGGGACCAAAGTTACAAACTCCCAGTTATGAGATAAGTCAGTCCTAGGGGAATGATGTACAGCATAGGAACTATATTTAACAATGCTGTACTGTACATTAGTAAGTGGCTAAGAGAGTGGACCTTAAAAAAACATCTAAATTTATTTTATGAACTCTGAGCCTGACCTAAATCTCCAAACTTAATGGGGCAAGTTAGCTATAAATTAAGATTTTAAACTCACGTACAGGTTTACTATGCTCTCTCCTAAGAAAAGATAAAATAAAATAAAAAAGGCAGAAGCAGTAGAGGTGACTGCACTCTCATTGCATCGCAGGTAATACATACCCTTTATTGCCATTTGAACTTTTAAAACCTGGCAGACTGGCTCTGGCCAGGAAAGAAGAAAGCACAAAACTAGGGGGGAAAAAGTAACCAGTTCTTAAGAATAAAAAATCAAGTTTCTCGGGGGGGGGGGGGGGGATCAATCAAAGGACTCATGCATGCATGTAAGCATAACCAATGGGCACAGACAACAGGGGGTGAGGGCATGAGTGTGTGTGTGTGTGTGTGTTTTAGGGGGTGGGGGGGTAAAGGGGGAATAAAGACACATATGTAATACCTAAATCAATAAAGAAATTTTTAAAAATCTGGTTCCTCGCCTCCATGACACAAATCTTTAGTCTCTCATTTTTCCTCTTACTCCTAAAAAAAAAAAAAGATTACCTGGGCACATGGCATGTAGAGAGAGAATTTCGAGAGGGAAACAGAAATAAAAGCAGCTTTGTATCAGACGAACTGACAAAGCGAGCGAAGAGGCTAAACAGACAAACTAAAAACTCGGCGTTTCTCAGTTCCGTGCGGAGCAGGAAGGGTATCCGGTGACTTTTTAACCGACTCCGGCGACACCAACAGCCGGTGCCTCCGGCCGTGTCTCCGCAGCACTGAGGACCACCAGCCACCACCCCCCGCCCGGCACGGCGCCCCGGCCCCGGGGGAAGTCCTCGCGGCCGGTTCGAGGAAACACCCGCTTCCCCCACAACAGGCCGGCGCGGATCCCCGGGCAGCGGGCCCGCCCGCACCGTCTCAGAGGCGGCCTAACCCCGCGGGCAACCCGGCGCCGGCTTCCCCTCCTGGCCCCGCCGATCACACCCTCAAGCAGGCCGAGAGGACCGACCTGCCCAGCGATCGCGCGGCCAGCGCCTCCGTCGCCGTCCGGTGCGAGGTGCGAGCATCCGAGGCTGCGGCCGGGCGCGCCGTCTCCTCCATGGGGAGCCCCGAGGGCGGGGAGCCCGCGACAAACTCCGGCCCGGAAAACCGGACCAGAGACCGCGCAAAGCGGAAGAGCAGAGCCCGGGCGCGGACGAATGACGCAGGGGCAGCGCCCGCGCAGACTCAGTGCAGCCCGGCGAAAGTCCCGCCCACGCCGCGGACCGCAGTGTCGACTTCCGGTTTCTTTACCAAGCCATGATTGGCGGGCTTGGGGGGAAGGGGCGGGACGAGGGGGAGAAGTTTGGAAGGAAATATTTTATAAAATAATGTTCGCCTACCAAGTGATCAAATTCAAAGTACTGTGTGCCGCTTACAATGCCAACGACAACGCTCGGTCAGTGTGTGTGTGAAACTACAGTTTTTGTTTAATTTTTATTGATTTTTTTACAGAGAAGGGAGAGATAGCCAGAAACACCGATCTGCCGCCTTCTGCACACCCCACACTGGGGATGAGCCCACAGCAAAGGTACTTGCCCTTGACCGGAACCGAACCAGCGATCCCTTAGTCCGAAGGCCGATGTTCTATCCACTGAGCAACACCGGTTTAGGCTGAAACTACACTTGGAAGGACCCCTCACGGAAGCTGTCACTCAGCGGGCCAGGGGCGGGGCTATAGTGGGACCAGGAAAGACGAGAGTATTTGGGAACGCGGAGAGGCGGGACCAAGTGTGGGGCGGGGCTACGAGCTGATACCGGATATTTGGGGGTGGCAGACAATGATGAGGCTGGGTGAGTGAAGGGGGCGGGAATGTGTTTGTGTACCCGATAACGCCGAGGCTGAACCTGGGCCATGGGCGGGACCAAGCGCTGGGGGCGGGACTAGACCAGATCCAACAGGGATAGGCTGGACCAGGACTGTGGGCGGGGCGTGTTTGGGAAAGCAGAAGGGCTGGACCAATTGCTGGGGGGCAGGGTTGATGGGATACTGCAGGGAGGCCAGAGGGTCCGTGTTGGTTGGGGAATAGAGGTGAGGCCAAGTGCTTGGGGCTGGGTGGGGCTCAGGTTAGGGCTTATTGTTCCTCATGAGGGACTTCCTTTAAACACAGGATATCAGGACACTCATGGGCACTAACCACACAGCTGCCCCTCTGGAGGGTGTGGAGGAAATGGGGGATCTTGTCATAAACCTGCTCTTCAAGGAAAACGTCTCCCCCTACTTGGCATGTCCCCTGAGGCACGTGGTTGCCTTCTACTGCCCGGGCTTATTAGGAAAGTGGACTCAAGGACAGTGAGCACTTTTCCCATGAAGCATCTCCACTCAAGTGCTACCACCCCACCACGCACACTTCCAGATAAACTGAAAGTATTAAAATTTAGAGTATAGATTCTGACAACACGACATACACATATTTTCAAAATAGCGAAGGGAAATTTCTCAACCAGGTTCTCAGCCCTGGTAATTTTTCTGATACACCTGAACACTTTCCAGGGGAAGTAAAGGGCAAAGGGATTCTTTTAGCCTTGGAGAGTCCAGTCATGTTTCTAAGGAATGACTTACCCTGACCTTATATATAGCAGCCTTCATTCCCCTCCCTCATACCAACACAGTGTTTTAACAAATACAAAGTTTAATGATCAAGCACCACAAAGTAATTTGGGACATGGAGTCAAGCAGACCAAGAATGGGTTTCCACTTTATCCTCACTACATGGCCTGCAGAAGTGAGGAGACAGGAGACAGGCAGGATGAGATGGCATTTTGGTCCGATCAGAGGATCTATATGGTCATGGGAAGGGGCAAACTCAGCACTTGGATAACAGGGGAGGTATTCACAGAAGGTGGGAAATAGGGTGTCAAACGTTGTCTTCTCAGTTTCCCAGAGGTTCCTGCAGAGAAGCGAGCAAGGAGATCCTGTCATCCTTAACATCCCGAGCCCTCTATAGTCAGGGTTTCTGTGTTGTTCTGCCCCATCTCCTTCTTTCCCCAGCTTTCTGTTGCTCCCTACCATTCCTCCACGCTGGCCATTTTCTTCCTCCTCAGAGTCCAAAACCAAGTCCCCTATGGTCATGACAGGGCTGCACAGAGATGGAGGACACACTGCAAGAAGGAAACCAGAATCAAAGTTTTCTTCTAGATGAACACAGGCGCTCAGGAGTCCTAAGAGAGGAGGTTGCCTGATCGAGTCCTGACTAAGTATACCACCTCAGGGGCCCCCTGGGCAGTCCCAGCAACTCCTGAGTGGGAACCAGCCAAGAAGATAGGATGAAGGGAAAGCAGGCAAGGACTGTCTGCCAGAAGGCAGAAGCAACTGTTCCACTCACCCCTTCTGCTCCGAGGCGGACACGGCACCTGGGTTCTCCTTCACAGTCCTTCCACCCAGGGTCTGGGAAAGACTCCTTGACTTCCCAGTGGAGGCTGCTTTCGTGCCCCCACCACCTGCTGGAACTGCTATGCGTGTCCCTTGTTCTTTCCTGTTCTGGGTTGACAGATGACCTGGGTGGGTGAACTCAGATTCCGAAAGTGGAATAGCATGACTGTGGAGGGCTCCTATGGCCTACCCTCCTGGATGCCCACTGGGCCTGGGTTCTTCGTTGGCCCAGAGGGGCCAGGTTGAAGTGGTGGCCAGCCAGAGGTTCTGGTTGCTTTGTTGAGACTGGTCCTGGAGGAAGGTGTGGGCCAGGGTTGCTTTGTGGCACAGGTTGACGGAGTGCTGGTCTTGGCTGCTGAGTAGGACTGGGCTCCATGGGCTCTGACATGTTCACTGAATGAGTAACAGAGCACTCTAAAAAAGAAAAGAATGTTCCATGTAATCCTTCCAATGGGCTGGCTGTCTCAAAAGATATCAGGCTACATATTCCACCCACAAATTCCTAATTTTTTCAAGTGGTCCTGGTACCTGGAAGTGGCCATCCCATGTCCACACTATATTGGCTCAAAGCAAAGGAAGTCGTGATAGACATCCCAGGCTGCATCCGGCTCAGCACATCCTGAAGCTGTGGGCAAGGAGAGAGCATGGAGACCACAGTCCGTGATCCGACCACCCACTCTCTGCCCTGTCTTTTGCCCCAGGAAAACCTGCTGTGTCTGGGGGGTAGGCAGTGCTTTTTCCAGCCGACACAAATATTCAAAGAACAGCTTTTCCATAGCAGCCAGGAAGGGCTCCCCGTACTCTTGTTCAAGCTCCTGCAGACAGAAAAAAGCTGGTCATAAAAGGACTAGAAAAGAAAGCCACATCACAGAATCCACAATCAGCTAGTCTTACCAGCAACTTCCAATCCAAATCTTCAGGGGCCTGTGCCAGCAGCTTCACCTGCTGGTGAAAGGCTTCCTGTGCCTCGGAGATGATCTTCAGATCATGCTCTGTCTGTTGAAGGTAAAGAAGATAGACTAATTAGGGGGACCAAGGACTAACTTGTGGGTGGGGACCGTTCCAGGGATTACTCACCGCTTTGGGGTCCCGCACGACAGCAGGTCCAGACAGTGGAAAGTGGAGATACAAGGCATTCAGAACGTGGGCCCAACGCCGGCCCTGGAGGATCAGCTCCACCACCACCTGGGAAGGCGACTGAGCTCAGAAACCCCACTCCGGATCAGGCTTCCCTTTTGCAGCCGCTCCCACCCCACAAGCGGCCAGTCCTCGCCGATCCTTGCACCCCGCCCCTTCCCCGAGGCGCGTTCCCGGTCCCAGTGGCTCCAGCACCTTGGCCTTCAGGCCAATACACAGGCGCTCGTGGTGGCGGTAGCGAACCAAGCCGGGAGCAGCAGCGCGCAGGGCCCGCAGGAACTCCAACACTCGCGGGAAGGACTCCACGTGGCGTCCGCGCACGGCCCTCCAGCTGGCAGCCGCAGCCAAGCGCAGGCCGGCCACGGCGGCCCCCGGGGACTCAGCCATGGCGGGCGCTCCGCCGCGGGGGCGGGACTTCGGTTCCTTCCTGCGAGAGGCGTTCTGAACCCGCCCAGGGGCGGGACTAACTGTGGACCACAAAGGCTGGGCGGGGCTTCCGGAAGACCGCAGAGGCTCGGCGTTTCGGCGGACGCCGTCTGCTTCGCGATCCTCAGCGCACTTCTCTAGGCCGCTAGAACTTTGTAGGTTTTCTCCAGTTTGGGCCGGAGCCCAGGTGAAGAACCTAGCGGCTCCGATGGTATCAGGATGCTCGCTCTGCCGTAAACGGCGCCATAGTCTCGAACCCGAGGGACACAGCGCTTCCGGCCTCGCCACCAGTTTTTCTTCCCCCGGAAAAGGCGATCATGGAAAGTCAATGGGTCCCCCCGGAGGCGGGAGCACGTGAGCGCGCGTCAAGAAGCCCCGCCCCGGCGGCCGGCATCTCCCGGAACTGAATACAGACTCAAAAATGGCCGCCTCCAGGCCACTGGTTGCCTCAGTGATTGCGGGCCCCAGGGTACTGGCTGCATCAATAATGCTAGCCTCCAAGGCATCGGCTGCCTCCAAACTGACGGCCTACAGGTTACTGGGTGCCTCATTAAGACCGTCCTGTTTGGTACTGGCCGTTTTCGTCAGCGGCGGCTTCCCCTGTACGGACCACCTCAATGGCGGCTCCCATGTTACGGCATGCCCCCAAAATGGCGGTCTCTCGCGAAGACGCTGAGTCTCGCGACACTCCGACACCTCGCTATACGGACTAGCTGCCTCAACAATGGCGGCCCCCTAGGTACTGACGGCAGCCTCTAGGTTACGGACAGACATCGTGAACGTACAAGCTTCCTGATGTCAGTGCAGAAGCGAAGGCTCCCTTTGCAGGGCTGGGGCGGGAAGGGGTGCACAACCCAGACCGTGGCTTCAGTCCAATCACAAGTAAATAAAAATTATTGCCGCCCAGGACAGCCTCGATGATTTTTTGTTTTGTTTCTGGGTAGAAGTTTTCGTCGTGTTCACAGGGCAATAGCTGGGATTCCAGCACCACGGACAGAAGCACAAGGTGTTATGCCTTGAATGGCCACAAGATGGTAGCAGAGGATCATATTTGCACAAGAATTGGCTGACGGGAATCCTTTTGAGGTTTGTGTAGTAAGTACAGGGCACATCCCCAGCAGGTTTGCAGGAGGCAGCTGACCGATGTTTCTCCCTCATCGATGTTTCTAACTCTATCCCTGTCACTTATCTTTAAAGAATAAATAATATATATTTTTAAATATTTTCTCTTTGAATTTGGGTCTCTAATTACACCTTCTATTCTGTTCCATTAATTTCTCTATTGTGCCCTAACAGTGTAGCTCAGTGGTTGAGCATCAATCAACCTATAACTAGGAGGTTCAATTAACATCTTAGAGCAATTGTGTTTTCCATAAATGTTTACTACCTTTGGTTTGGGTGCTACAATGCAGGAATCAGAGCTAGGTCATCATCACAGTCATTTCTTCATGAGATTGTAGCCTTTCACTATGGGCTGAGGACAGACAATGCCTACATCAGAATGCGGGTCAGTCCCCAGGTTGGCAGTTCACTTCAAGAAAACACTTCCCGGCATTTCCAGCAACTCGTGTCTGGGTCCTAGAGACGGTGTTCTGTGTCCACAGACAGAGATAACTTGCTCCTTATCTCAGGCCGTGGTGGCCGAGACTCAAGACTCCAAGGGCCCAGATAAGCAGACAAAGTGCCTTGTCTGAGCCCAAACACACAGGTGGTCACAGCACATGAAGGAAAACAAGGAGATTTCATTCCTTTAATTTCTACATTTTTTAAATCATCCCTCGCAAATTGTTAAAAACGAGTTAGTAGAAACAAAAAGTCAAGTTCACTATTTTCTTAAAGAATTGACACGAATAGGGAAGGAAAGAATGACTTTTAATTCATAAAAAAGACCATTAGCAAAAGTCCTAACAAAAGCTAAAGAACCATTATCTTCCATTCTAATTGGTAGCGACTTTTTTTACAGTTAGCTCTCCGTGTTCCTTGCTGAAGTTCATGAATATTTCCCTGAACGTCCCTGACCCCTTGCCGAGGAAGACAGGGATGACCCCGGTGGCACTTGGACATTACCCAGAAAAACAGGAAATAAATGTAAGAATGGGAAAGGCAGCCATCGGCAACCAATAGTCTCAGACTTCCTAATTACCAAAAGCATAGACAATTTTAGGCTAGAAAAATAAGTCGATTTTATAAATTTAGGCTTTCAGGCCGAAAAGTGCCCTTTCACAGATACAAGGACACTGGCAAATAGTCCCTACAAATCTCACTGGATTGCGACAAGAAAAACATGCCTTACGGTGACAAACGCAGCCGGGGACCGGGACACCCTCGGCAGGCCGCAGGCACGTGCTCAGCTGCTGGCCAGGGACTGATGGATCGGGGGCTGGAAGCAGCGCACGTGCTCCACGGGCGTGCTCTCCCCGTCGCCAGACTTCAGGTACTTGTCCAACACCGTGATGATCTCGTCATTCAGAATCTGGAACTTGCGAATTCTCTCCACCATCTTCTTCAAAGGCTGCCACAGAGAAAATGAGAGACAGACACGTAGATAAACAGACTGATAATGTCCGAGTGTTTTCGGATAATTCTGTGACAAACATTTCAGAGAATGAGAAAGAAGAAAAGATCTAAAGAGCAGCCAAAAAGCACACTCTGACGGCCACAGAGGAAGCCAGGAGACCGGCAGGAGGCCTAGGGCATGAGCACAGGTCCCACGAGGCTGCACATGGAGACACAGACCCAAGAACCCTGAAGAGGGTAAAAACGGGCGACGTGGCCTTTTCACTGTCACACTGCTCGGCCCTACAATGTCATGACGATGCATTTTGAAGAGAAAAGGGAAGCTTCACTCAGCGCCATCTTACATGCTGGGATGGGAAACTGCCCCGAGGAAGAAGCTATCACAGACCGAAAGCACGCCTTCCTGTGACACTTCACCGCAGGACACGGGGCTTTTGCCCACGTACCACGTTCTTGATGATCTCGTCTTTGCCGTCGTGTTTCTGGACCTTCAGCAGGTGGTAGCAGAAGTCCAGGACAGCAAAGCGCCGCTGCTGCCCGAGGAGCACGATGATCATGCAGCCGGCCCAATGCAGCCCGTCGCCAAAGCACTGCCTGCAAACAAGAAGCATCAGCGCCTGGCCAGCGCGGCTCGGCGTTGACCTATGAACCAGGAGGTCAGGGTTCGATTCTGGTCAGATCACATGCCAGGGTTGCGGGCTTGATCCCCATGGAAGGTTTTGCAGAAGGCAGCCGATCAATGATTCTCTCTCATTTTTGACATTTCTCTCTCTCTCTCTCTCAATTTTCCTTCCAGTCTCTCTAAAATGAATGGAAATATATTAAGTGAGTATTAAAAAACAAGAAGCACTCAGAAGAATGGGCAAAGAATGAAAATCTTTCCTGCACCTGTCTCTTTCTCCAGGCGTCCATGACCCAGCCACCTGCTGGGAAAACTGGGTGGTGTGTCCCTGTTTCTGGTGAAGACCCCTTTAGGTTCCTCGGACACCACAGCTCCTGACCTGTTTTTAGGTCGCAGACCCTCCTTGAAGGATGTCATGAGGCTGGGGCCCTCGCTGGAGAGGTGCACAACCCACCCACGTGCCGAAGTCTCCAGGGTCGAACACCAGAGGCCGAGCCCCGAGCCAGCTCAGCGCCCGCCTCCCTGTGCCCGAAGCGCACACTTACTCGACCGTGAACTCGTGCGTGCCCACAGGGATGCAGTACACGAACTGCATGGCGCTCCACAACCGGTGGAACTCCACACACTCGTCCACATGCATGACGCCGTTGCTGGGCAGGGGCCCACGCCAGATGGGGTCGTCCAGGAAGGTCCGGATCCGCGTCAGGATGACCTCGAACATGGACAGGCCGCAGCAGAGCCGCTCCTTGGTCAGCAGGTCCCCCTCTCTCGCGATGGCGATTTGCTGCGGGAAGGACAGCGCACGATGGGCCACACAGGAGGTCGCGGGCCGACCCCACGGGCCCCACTTCCTCATGGTTTCCCGGAGAACCATCTCCACTCGCAGGAGCGTCAGACAAGACAAAGGTCGGGGTTCCCTGTCTCACTAGACTCCACGGGGAGCACGATGGAGGACAGCAACGGTGCCGTGCGTGCACACGTTCATTGCCACCCCGCGGGGCGAGGCGCGGGGCAGCGGATGGACAGAGGCCAGGGACAAGGCGTAATGGCCGAAAAGTCACGGGAAAGCCCCCAACAGAGCATCATCCGGTACGAAAGGGCGGCTTGCTGAGACTGAGGAACGGGGAGCTCTGCCCGATGCCTGGCCTCCCGCTGAAGAACCCAGTCTGTTCTTAAACACCCGGGACCGAGCCTTCTTCACGAGGGAGGGACCCCAGAGCAGGCGACACCTCTGCAGGCGGCTCACCCGCCAGGAGGTGCTCTGAGATTCGAAATGCCCGGGGCCGGGGCCCGTGACGGACCTGCTGGAGACCCCGGGCCGTGGGGACCCACCCACCACCTGATGCTCCCGGGTACGGGCTCCCCGGAGCGGACCCGCCAGGCCTCACCCGGGCCCGACGTGGACCCCCACGAACAGCAGCGCCCGCCCGCCCAGGAGGTTACCTGAGGTGTCCCCAGCCTCTCGATCAGGGGGACGAGGTGCAGGGGGGCGTACTTGGACTCCAGCCGCTTCATCTTGGCGTCGAGCCGCTCTCCCTCTGCAGCGGGAAAAGGCGGGCACACGCTGTCTCTCATGCGACAGCAGTCACAGCAGTCACACTTTACATAACCAGATCCGGGAAGGTTGTGAAAGGAACATGGCAATGGATAATAAGGAACATTATAAATTGATGAACAAAAAGACAGATACAGCCGAGACCGGTGTGGCTCAGTGGATAGAGTGTCAGCCTGCGGATTGAAAGATCCCAGGTTCGATTCCGGTCAAGGGCATGAACCTTGGTTGCGGACACATCCCCAGTAGGTGGTGTGCAGGAGGCAGCTAATTGATGTTTCTCTCTCATCGATGTTTCTAACTCTATCTCTCTCCCTTGCTCTCTGTAAAAAATCAATAAAATATATTTTTTAAAAAGACCGATAAAGAGCCGGGACCGGTTTAGCTCAATGGATAGAGCGTCGGCTTGGGGACTGAAGGGACCCGGGTTCGATTCCGGTCAAGGGCATGTACCTTGGTTGTGGGCATATCCCCAGTAGGGGGTGTGCAAGAGGCAACTGATCGATGACTCTCTCTCATTGATGTTTCTAACTCTCTATCTCTCTCCCTTCCTCTCTGTACAAAATCAATAAAATATATTAAAAAAAAAAAAAAAAAAAAAAAAAAAAGACCGATAAAGAG